AACATAGACAACATCAAATTGCTAGCCTGTGCTAATAACAGGTAGTGTTGCAGTCATTCATTAGAAATGGTGCAGAGCACTTCAAACCTCCCATCTCACTATCACGGAATTGCAGAATGATTGGGTTGGAAGGGAGCTTTGGAGGTTATCTTGTCCCACCGCCCTGTTCAAGCAGGGCCACCTACAGCTGGTAGCCCAGGACTATGTCCATGCAGCTTTTGAATATCTAAAGGGATGGAGACTCCACAACCTCTCTGGGCCACCTGTGCCAGTGCTCCGTCACCCTCATAGTAAAACAGTGTTTCCTTATGTTCAGACGCAACCTTCTGTGTTTTAGTTTGTGTCTGTTGCTTCTTGTTCTGTCACTGGACACCACTGAAAAGAGCCTGGCTCCATCTTGTCTACACCCTTCCTTCAGATATTTATATACAGTGTTAAGATCTTCCCGAGCCTTTTCTTCTCTAGAAAGACAATTTTTCCATTCTGCATTGCTGTCTACAATCACAATTTATGTTATAAGCATCACCACAAACATTCACTGGACAGTTATTTGCCCCATTCCTTTTTAATCTAACGTGCAGTACAGGCTCTTCTGTAACACAGCTTCAGCACAGTTCAAGGTGAAAGGGCTTGTCTTGAGGGATCAAGCTGAAGCTAACAAAAGTATGTTTAAGGGTTAGCCTTACACATGAATAAAGAGTAGATATTAACAGCACTGCAGACAGCATATGGTATGTAAGAGCCACCACTGGGACACAACTTACTATGAAACCAAGAAATTATAGCTTTTATGACAAGATTTTTCTAAGCTGATGAAATAATATCCTCAAAGTTTTGCTTCCCACCTTCAAAAGTTTTAGAGGATCCAGTTTTCAGAAAATGCTGAGCACTTTCTGCTCTTCTTTTCCCTTTTGAATAATAATCTCAGATTATTATATCTGTCATATAAACGAAGTATACAAGGCTCTGAAAATAATATATCTGTCATATAAACGAAGTATACAAGGCTCTGAAGATGGGACATAGTTATTCTGAATTAAGTAGACAGGACCTTGATAAATAGCCACACATATAGTTGTTTACAAGTCAGTTTCCACTATGAATCCTGTTTAGCTTTTACAAAATAAAGCTAGAGCTGCAAAGCAAAAACTGCTTTATTCTACAAACTGAAGTGTACATAAATAGTAGCAAAACCACTGGGTCCACTACAAACCACTAATTCCCCAGCACCTATTTTTATCATCTGCCTCATTCATGCCATGTGAATTGTACCTATCAATGAACATGCAATCCTCATACCTCAAACATGGAAAACTATATCCTTTGCTTCACTTAGGATTACTGCAGCTGCAAAGAAGAAAAGGCCTGGAGAGAAAACAGCATTAGCAGAAAAGCAAGTATAACCCCAGCCAGGCTCCAGAGCATGGTTAGTGTTATACTCATTTGACTCAGATATCAAGTCAAATTCAGAATACATTCAATACTTTCCAGTTTGCCAGTCAGTTCCAATTACAAGGCACAGCTGTTTAATACAGTTTATAGAGTCATTTGAAGGCTCTATATTTAATCTGAATAATTCATAGTATTTGCTAAGAGCATTTGGTATTACTTTCAATTATGAACATTGTCTTCTCAGAATGTAAAGTAACTAGTACATACTTGGCCAGCTCTTCTGCTTGCGCACATTGATGCAGCTCCATTGACTTCTAATGGAGCGATTCCAATTTATGTGAATAGACCATGTGGGCTGCAGCATAGTTACAATAGCTCTCTTTCCTGAGGTACAAACCCACCAGCATCTATGGCAGTGAGCATGGAGTTGCATATGTTTTTCCTATATATGTTGCACTAATTCTCAGAAGGTGAATGCAGGGCTCTTTTGGCTGATTATCATGTAGCAAGGATAGGAAAATAAAAGGCCCTGCACAGCCCAGCCTCTGAACCCATGCAAAGTTAGGGACAGAATGCTTCCTGTGCAGTGTAAGAAAGAAAAGGGTGTGGGCCTGATACCCCAAGATGCATCCTCCTCCCTCCCATTTCTTTAGATATGTAATGGATAATAATATAAAATAATAAACATGTAATGAAGAAATACACAGAAAAATGTGGGGGGTTCACTTTTCTGAAAGCATTTGTTGGGAATGTTTTTACTTTTCTACTTTTGAAAGTCAGCAATTCCCAAATCTTGACAATTTAATTTTTTTAATTATTTTTTCTTGCACCAACAGTTAAAGAGTTGAGAGAAACATCCTAGAAAATTATGCTATTCAGAGTGCTAGCCAGTTTTAACAAATATATTGGTCCTATTTCTGTGAAAAGCCATGCCAACTGGAATTGTCTCTGCTAGAGCATCAAGTTCAGGGTGCAGCTGGTAAGAATTCTGCTTCTCATTTTACCTCCTTTGTGACTTTCCCCACAGATTTTTCTGTCCAGTGAGTATAGTACACTGTCCTTAATAGCAATCATTACCTGGTGCTGAGATGATGGTGCAGGAAAGCTTGATCAACTCCAAATACACTGAACCCAAGATACAGATTTTTTAATGACTCCAAGTGAATTATGAAAAACATTAAAATGAAACTTTCCTGAAGGCAGGTCACTTTCAAGTTCTGTCTCTTAGTCTGACTCAGTTGAAATACTGTCTCATATGCGATCTATAATATAGAGGAGAGTGAGGTTGCCCTTGACTTTCACCAAAAGGTGCCATTTAACTATTGTATTTTACAACGTGAGAGGAAAAAACCTGAGTACATATGCATGTTTCATACAGTCATTAAAATTTTCTACTTCTGTTTGGTAACTCTTGTTTGCTATGTCCTTGAAATATGTATTACTATAGATTCAGTTATAGCAACTGAAGGTTGCATGGTTCTTGATGGCAGTTCACTTCTTTCCTGTCCTTTTTATTGTCTGTGTTATCACTTGAAAAACAAATAATCAGTCACCTTCTAGATGCCAGATGACCTGCTAGATGATATAGCCTGTGTAACAACCTGCCCAGCCAGGTGCACTGAGCTGCTCTGTCTCATATATTTTTTTTCTGAAATCATCCTACTGTAAACAAGGAACTTTATCTAACACAAGAAAATAAACAGAGATTAAAAAAAAGAAAGAAAAAAAAAAAAAGAAAAAAAAAAAGGATTAAAAAAAAAAAAAAAAAAAAAAAAAAAAAAAAGAACTGCCTGCTTCCTGGAGGAGATTATATTGTCTTACATTCTGTATTGCCTGTTTAGAAAGCTATGTGTCTTTAACTCAACATGCGGTGAGATAATTAATTGTCTGCAGCAATCCATTTCAAGAAGTGTGTATGTGTCATCCTGGTGTCAAAAAGGCCTCAGTGGCCCTTCGATCACCATCTGCTGTCCTGTTGGGGTACTGCAAGGCTGGCAGCCCTGCTTCTGCCGCCAGAGCTGCAAAGCTGACCAACTTCATGGAGAAAGTGTCAGAATTCTAATACTTAGTGCTGGACTTACATTTAAACTGTGATTTTGCATCCCCTATGTAACGCCCATAAAGTTTAAAGAGAAAATAGATTAAAAAAAATAATTTTGAGATAAAGACAACAAAGTATCTCAGTGAAATCAGCATCTCATGAAAACAAGTAGATGGGGGGTACAAGGTTGTTTCCAGGCTTATTTTGGCTCCTTTGGCACCACGTCTTAGACGTTACACAGTTGTTTGCCTAGGGAAGGTTTGTACATGGAGATGGTAATTCTGGTCGTTTCAAATAAAAAAGCTGAAAAGCCAGGTTTGATAAATACATATGCAAGTTTGTATATCCTATGCCAATCAACGACTGGGAATCCATGACTGTGAATGGATGTGAAAATACAATTAGGATCAGGAACAAAGAGGACATGCGGAAGAAAACACGTGGAAAAGAAAGGAAAAGAAGTAGTAATAAAAAAGGAGAGTAACAATAAGGGAAAATAAGGCTCTCAGAAATTACTGAAGGTAAAAACAGAAGGCAGGAATGAGAGGAACAGAAGCTATGCTTTAAAGTTTTCAGCAGCAGCATTAATAGACACTTGCATTGCATTGTAGATAGAAATTACAAAAATGGACCACGAATCTCAACAGATGGATCCAAGAGCAGAGAAACATTATACTAACACAAAAAAAAAAAAAATCTAAAATTTATTATATGGACTGTGTAGTGAGACTTAATGTTTCCCTCAATCCATACCGTGGTACCACAGCAAGGTATTTAGAGAGAGCTCTAGGAAGGACCCATTAAATTTTGCTTGCCACTTTAGGCAAACACTAGGATTATTAACTTTATACACTGCCTCAATTCTATCATATGTGCTATGCGAATTGGGCTGTGGACAGGCAGCAGAAAGTTACCTCACTGAGGAAGATTCTTTGCTGACTTCATGGAGCAGTGTTAGGGGAAATAAGAGGACTTGCTGTAATATGCATGCTTTGTGTCACAAATTAGACCATGGACCACTCCAGACTGGAGCACAGGCTGTCATTAATGTTCAGTGAGACGTCCACTGTCATTCCAGACCCTTCCCTCTACCAGGCAGAACTGAAACTCAAGGTGAAGTCCTTCATATTTAAGGTGTCTCCTGGACTGCCTGGCACCTTACATATGTAATAATCATATTTCGTTTTTTGTGCCCTTTTGCATTTTACAAAGGATTATCATGATGTATGAAAAAGTCTATAAACAAAAAAACTTCTCCAGAAATTTCTTGAAGTGGGATATCTCCCTTGTTGCTTCATAGAGGGGATAAAAGACCCATATTGTTGACTGGCAGTTTTTTTCAGCTGCCAGGGCCATTGACAACCTTTGTATCAATCTCTCCTACCTGTGGTCACTAGATGGCTGAACATAGTCTTCTTTGGCAACACTGCCCCACCAGAGCTATGAAATTATCCCTGTTACTGAGTGGTTTAGGACCTTGACAATAGTTGCATTGAACATACACAGCTACAAAGCTCAAATCTGTTTTGTTTTTGTTTTTTTCTTTGCCTTGTAGGGAACGGAAATGTGAGCAAAAGGCTTATCTTGCATAAAGCTGTAGGCCACAGTGTGAAACTCAATTAATAATGAATGTTTGACATACAGTTCTCAAGTGAGTATGAATTTTAATACAGTAGAATTTACAAAGTTGGCATTTTACATCCAAGAGTAATCAAATATTTTTGTTAAATTTGACCTGTGCTAAGCTTTGCATAGTGGGTAGCCACCACTGCAGTACTTCACATCTCTTCATGTTCATTATATTGGCACAAAATTACCCGAAGAATCACACAAGGGCTTTGGGGGAGTTGTGCTGGTTATTGTTAACAGTGTATTAAATTTATAAACCTTGATTTAAAATTGATAGGTGAAGTTGATGCTATTGATGTCAACAGGTCCAGGATTTTGCTCAATACTAAATGTTAAATGTGGCAAATCAGAATTTGGAGAAATTGCTGCCTTAATCCAAGGCACCTTTAGCCCGTGTTTATCATCCTAATGCCCTTCTGTTTGATATTTACTTCTTTGGACATTGCTACCTCACTCCTTTTGCAAATCCATGTTAGCATTGATGTCATAAAGTAAGCAGAATGAATGTGTGAAATTGCTTGTAAAATTATCAAATGAAATGAAGAGCAAATATGATGACTTGTTTTTTTTTTTTTAAGTTGAATAAGGAAACTGTCAGCAGTGATGCACTCTCGTAATGCTTACTAGAGCTGAACAGTATATATATAAGTCTGTGCAAAAGAGGCAGCTAGGCAGATCTCAGGATCCTCAAGGCTTGCCATAGTTCCAGAAGAGAGGGTTGCAGCTCTTTCTGCAACTGCCACGTATCACTTCAAAGTATAAAAAGGTAAGATTTATATGAACTACCAGTACAATTTGTTTGAGAAAGCTGAGTGCATTATTGGAATTGTATTGCCCAAAGTTTGTGCAATAGAGGTGCACGACCTTTCAGCAAATTGGTGTTTTCTTCTGTGGTTATAATCACTGATGTTTGGAGTTCATGACATCATCATTTAAATCTTTTAATCTATTGAATTAGTTCAACAGAGAATGATCCAAAAAAGGGAAATCAACTGTTTGGGTTGCAGAAGCAATTGAAAGAAGGAAGATTAATGATAAGAACAGGAAAGACATGCATTGTAGTAAGAATTTAAATGTGAGATACATAATTATTGATTTTTATATTTTTATCTCCTTTAGTATCTCCTCTAGAGATATTTAATGAACAGGAGTTTAAAAATATCCACTCCTTATAGATACTGCCTAAATATGAATCAATGGGGATTAAATTAGCAGAATGCAAACAAATGAAGTGAGTTTATAGAGACTCTGATTTAAGACAGATTGTCACTCCATCGCCCTACAGATTGCCACTCCACTATGCTACTTTTAGATTAGCTTGTCTCAAGCAATGTATCTTCTCATATCACTGTAAGATCTGAAAAGGAAATTTTATAACACAAAAGTAAAAATTAAAGCCTCTCAACAGTTACTATGCTTATTGTATAAAATGTAATTTAGTCTACCATCCTATTAGGGATTTCCTTAGACTAGAACCATTTTATTTTACAGAACTTTCCACAAGCCATTATAACATGGTAGGTAAATTAGATGTAAAGTACATCTATCCAACAAAGTAGTTTATTTATAATTAGAAATAACTGGTATTTGTAAACACTTCCATGTCAATAGAAATCTATTTTATTCATTTATACATTTTCATATGAAAATATTCCTTTTTTCACTGCTATAACTACATAATTTGTATTTTTAAACTGGAAATAGATACAAATCTGACTTTTGAAAGATTCTTTTTGAAAACTCAGTGAAATTACACTAGTTACCATTGCACATAGTGTACAGAGGACATCTGCGGTAAAATATATTGGAAAAACTAGCAAAATAAGGTTGATCAAGGAAATAATATTTGAATAAGTTTCTGATCAAGATCCGAGAGACATTTGTTACATTCTGGTGGTCCAAACTGAGATGTATTAAATTTTTAATCTCCAATGAGAAAGAAATTACAACATTCTCATTAGTCTAATATGCATAGGAACAAAATTTTTCTGTGTAAGATTAACTTTAGTTTTCCTGCACCTTAACAATAAGATTGCATGGTTTTTTAGCAGTATCTACTGCTGACGTAAGTAACTTAGAGCAAATAAAACCTTTCTTCTGAGCAAGAAATTAATTGATTAGCAGGAATAAAGTAAACATATTATTTTGCTGATCATGTCCTTTTCTCTACAAAAAATATTTGTGTTCCCAAGAAATAAATAATTATTTCTTCTATAAAACTGTGGCTTCTTTAACTTGTCGAAAACTCTTGTTGCTGGCTTGGGTTACCAATAGCAAGTACTAAATTTTGAACAAAACTGATCCTAAAGTTTTTGAAAGAACATGTCTGATAGAAGTTTACTAGCTTTTGAAAATGCTTATTTTATTAATAAGGATAATCTTACTTGAAAATTGTATTAATTTTGAAAAACCCCTGAATTTATGCATCTTTCTTTTTAGTAATCTCCCCAGATTTTGAGTCTGAACAATTTAGAAAGAACCTAAACATACATTTAACCTTAAACATATTCTTAAGGTCTAAACTAGCCAGTGGGACTGTTCACATCTGAAAGCTCTATAGGACTGAGGCATGAGTTAGATCCAAGATATATTGAAATAACTGAAAATCTGTTAACTGACTGAAGTGGGCTTTTAATTTTTTTTATAAGTTTTATATAAAAGAATATCTTTTGGTGTCTGGTATTACTCTAAGGAGGCTGGATTAATGACTAGACTACTTCTTTCATTCCACCTCAATAACTTAGGTTTATGTCTAATCTGTACCATGGTTTAAGAAAGCAGCAGGCAGCTGTAAACTACCTTTCTTTAGTTTTTCACTTTAAGTAAAAGTATACCAAACTGCGAGCATAGCACTAAGCAGGGCAAATTTACTTACGTATGGTGCAATAGCCAGACTTTATTTGGTGTCTAAAAGTTAACTCATTTACAGTTATATCAGCTAACACGGGCGTCACTAGGTTACAATCAAACCATTTTTGTGACCACAGCAAAGTCGTCTCCCAAAGAATAGGCAGATCTTTTGTTCCATTGTTGGAAGCCTATGAAATGTGAAATTATGCATTCTTTGGGATAAACATTGGATGTCAGTGTTGCACCACCAAATTACAGCTCCAAATGAAACAGTGAAAAGAGAGTTCAATACCATAGTTAAAGCTATAATAGGACTACATGGCCACTATGGTATTTGTTAGTACTATAGCAGGATATGTGCAAGTGTAGGCATCAAATCTCATCTATCAGGATATTACAGAAGGCAGAAAAGTGCCTCCATACACACTGATCTAAAAATGAGCAACACTGGCAGTGGCTTCTGGTGGGGAGAGGGAAATCTACTCCCATTGCTTAACAGTACAATCCACCAGAAAATCTTATATTCATCAATTTATTTTCCTGGTTTTGATTAAGATTTCATTAAGATTTTGATTGCCTTAAATATTTTGATTCTGACACTTATTCTAGTAAAATATTTATGTTATTCATTAATATTTTCCTAAAAATTAAGACTCACAAAGTACCAGAAGCAATACATTCTTCCTAGCCATAGGTAAAATGCCTGCCAACAGTCAAGCTTTGCATCTCCAACTATAAGTTATTTTATAATAGATGGAAGAAACAGATTTAATGAAAAATCTGCTCTGAAGCTAGGCAGACTTGTGGGGCAGAGTAGAATGTGGGACAGAGTAGAAGTCCTACAGCAGTTAAGGTTTTTGATGCAGGAGTTTAGTTTTTCAGAGATGTTCATATAGCCACCCCATTTGCACTGCTCGGTGCAGAACCAACTCTAAATCTCAAAACAGAGTAATCTGCACCTTCTTCACACATCATTCCTTCATAACTTTCTTCTGGCTTCCTCCAGGCCATAGTATATTTAAATTCAGCCTATTGTGTCAAGGCATTACAATAGAGAATATACGTTTTTACTCAGACTGCCTTATTTTATAAATCATTGAATTTCAATAAATAACTCCTCCAGTGGAGCCGGATGATTTCAGTGCAGTTTACATTTAGTGGGCAGGGTGTTTTTTGCCTGGGTCTTACTTTCCCACCTACCACTTTACTTCAATGCACTCCCCTTTCCTATCTCCCTTGTTCTTCACACTGTAACATAAAATCCCATAGGAAACTGTCATGGATGGCAGAAGGGCTTTTTCAAATACATAAGTATCAGTCCGAGTACATGATGAAATTATTTCCAATGGCATTTTCCTGATGTGAACTCATCACAACTCCTGTTGCTTTACAGCAGCTTAATATTGTGATCATACTGATTTCAGAGTTAGAATGAATGAGCATTTAGTGTTCATCGTTCAATGAATGAGCATTTGGCCACTGAATGAATGGCATATTCAATTTCATCAAGGACAAAAGTGCCTAACCAAATTTTAAATTCATTTCGTTTTCTACACATTCATGCCACAAATTTAAGTGATCCAAAATATTTAAAAATAAACAATATATACTATTTGATTGTGTAAGTAGATTTCCTCTCATTTCCTATTTATGCAAGGCACTTTTGAGTCTATTAGCCACTAGCTGCTCATAGTCCCTTTGCACTGGATTTTGTGTGCCTAAAATGAAAGCATTTCTTTGTTCAATGGAGTTTGTCCTACAGGGGATCATATGTCAACAGACTAATACTCCTACATTAAATAATGAAAATTGTAGCACACATAATCAGAGGATTGGAGAATGCCTTATTCCCATTCGTGACTATTCACTAGAAGTTATAATTGTACTACTTGCATGTGTAAACCAGACACTAATGCAAGTAAAGTAACCACAGCATGGCTGTGGATCACCAAAGCATTTGCACAGTGTTATACTCTAATTTACCTTGAGTAATCTCACATTAAAATCAGTGAGATTGGTCAAGTTATTACAGTGCGTTTGATGAAGACACATCCAATAATGTAGCCTTTTTGGATTCAGATGTATGTAAAGATGATTACATTTTTCTCTGTTGCCTTATTTCTGTTTTGACAGGCAATGAAAATGAAAAGTGTTTATTTTGTTGCTGGGCTCCTTTTAATGATAGTTCAAGGCAGCTGGCAAAATCCTCTTCAGGACACAGAGGAGAAACCAAGGTAAATTGTTTAGATCAAACTTCTAGAAACAATTGGACTGAGCTGTTTTCTTATAGGTTGAAGCAAAACATACTATGACTTAAAGATAGTTTTTATACACTATTACACAGTACTTAATCTATCATTGGAATTGACAAAAGTTTTTAATATTGGAAAGGATAGCACAGAAATTTTTGGTATTACAAACAACAGCTGCCTTAGTTAGCCAAGACGACCTTGTAATTGTGCAGTATCCAATCTGCTATGTTGATTCATTTTACTAGCCAACTAGTGATCAATATGCCACTTGCTTTTACTTTGTGAGAGTATAAAATAGTATTTTTAAAAGAAAAGTCAATGCACCTGTAGAGTGTACTATAACCATCGCCAGTTAACAAGTTATAAACTTTTCACAGGTCATTCAAAGCTTCCCAGTCTGAATCATTAGATGAATCTAGACAGCCGAATGAAGTGAAACGTCACTCACAAGGCACATTCACCAGTGATTACAGCAAGTACTTGGACACTAGACGAGCTCAGGACTTTGTGCAATGGTTAATGAGCACTAAAAGAAATGGGTAAGCATTTTGGTCTCATTGCTACAGATCTCTGTATACAGAAGCAGCCAAAAATCTAGCTGAATTCAGTGTCTTGATTTCCGCTTTCCATCACAGACCATGTATAAGCCTCAGTTAAGTAAAGTACTTAAGGAAAATTTATATATAATGTTAATATGTTATTAGAAATGGGGAATACATGCAAAATCAGTCAAAAGGATTTGCATAAATCAAGTGTGGTATCAGTATATTACCTGATACACCATCTAAAAAGACTATCTTAGCCTCTTTGGGACAGATTGTTTCAGTGAATGAATTAAGTTTAATAGGAAAAAGATACATAAATATAATGTACAGGTCACGCCATTGGGCCTTAATAAAACTTTCCTATCTATGGATACTCTAATCCTTAAGTTTCATTTGTGAAAAGGAAGCTAAAGTTTAACTTCTGTTGACCACTGGATACTTTACCACTATCACAAGTATACTGTTAAGGCATGAGTTGAAATGTTTTTTGAAAATGTACTTCAACTAAACACAAGCTACCAAGCTGAGAGAGGGAATAATGTAAAAGCATGTAAATCTATGCTCCATGTTCTAGAGATTTGTCCACAGAATCAAAAAATCTATGACATTAATGCTTTTAAATCCCTGTGGAAGTCTTTAAAGTATAAAGTAACGATTTGTAGATATTGTATTAATTTAAATTCATAAGCCTGAAATTATTCACCTATCAGTCCTGATTGTTTATAATAATATTTAAACAAAAACAAATAAAATCTTACCAGATTATACATGCTCTGCAATGTATTGATAATAATTATCTAATTATTGTGGAATTCCACTACAGCCAACAAGGACAGGACAAGGAAAATGATGAAGTCCTGGACCAGCTCTCAAGGTATTCTAGTTGCCACAAGTGGTTACTCAAAAACAGTTTGAGATCATTTTCTGTTAAGCAAGAAAGAAAACAACTAGTATTCTTTACAAGGTTACCACAACCCAAGAAATATCTGTCAAAAGAAAGTATCTCACATCTGCTTTTTACAAGGAAAAAGGAAATGTCTCTATGTTATTTATTCCTGTACCTGTGGTTTACAGCTATGTACAATGGCTTCAAGGAAAGCAACAGGATGAGAATAGATTTCAGGAAAGGACACTCCAAGTAATAAAGGAGAGTAGACAATAAGATAAAAAGAAAAACTTGATATAGAAAAAGGCTGAAGCAAAACAAACCATTATGTGGAGGAAAAGAAAACCAGTGAGGAGACTAATGAAAGGAAACTGGCCAGGCACCAATTTGCAGAGTTGATAAAACATGATACAATGCCCAGCCCTAAGCACTCATGTTGCATAAACTGCTCATAACAGGAAAGGAGAACATAAGACCTGCTGAAGGCCAGAATTTTCTTTCTTGACAATGTTTTTGGGAGAGGGTTGGGGGGCTTGAAAATTTGAAACAAAACCAAAAGTCAGTAAGTGTTTTTGCAAAACAGATGGAAATCCCTCTATTCATTCCTCCTTTTGTCAGAAATTCCAGAGGATAGACGAGGGTTGGAGGGCTTGAAAATTTGAAACAAATAAAACCAAAAGTCAGTAAGTGTTTTTGCAAAACAGATGGAAATCCCTCTATTCATTCCTCCTTTTGTCAGAAATTCCAGAGGATAGACTGGATGACAAAGATCCTTCTATTCAAAACACTGTCCATATCAGTAACAAATCTGTAATAATGTTTCAGCTTCAATGAAAAAGCATATCTCAACAAAATTAATGTTTCATTAAAAATGTTCCAAACAACTGTAGTTAGCATGCTGATGAAAAGTGCAGATGGTACTAAATTAGGAGGAATGGTGAAATCCCAAGAAGATAAAAAATAATAGAAAGAGATAGAGGCCCTGAAAATTGGGTGAAAATTATCAAATTCTGAAACAGAAATGCTAGGGAACTTATTCATGGAAAATATTCCATAATATGTCTACTTCTCAGTGCAGCTTGCCTTCCTAAGGGCCACTGTGACATAACTTTGTGCTAAATCAGAGAAATAAGCACAATGAGATGTAAGGAGGGAGAAGGAAATTGCCTTTCTCTATTAAGCTGGAGGTGATCAGGCTTGAAATTGTTCCAAGACTATCACTTGGTCAGAATGATGATTAAAAGCGTGCTCACAAAACAATTAAAAATGTAAATCCAAAAGGAATTAAGTCTGAACAGTTTGGCTAAGAAATAATGAAGATGAAGGTACAAAGAATGGCTTAATGGAAATTTTTAGGTTAACACGAGGTAACAAAAAGTACATCTGTAGAATACAATACAGTTTTTTGATCATAGCTAATTAATCTAGCATATTATTCCAGTGCAGCTATATTTGCTTTCAGTACCTGATCTGATTTGTTCAGAACTAGTCCAGGCATCTCTGCACAAAACTATCCTGCATAGCACAAACAATGCTTTCAGAACTGACAAAGACAGCAGGGAAAAAAAAATCAAGAGTAAACTGAGAAGCAAAAAAACTCCTCTCCCTAATAAAAAAATGCTAGTCTGGGGGGTGGGAAATAGAAATCAATTAAGGTTAAAAAAAAAATTAAGTCGTTATGCAGTCTGCTCCTAGATTACTGCTTTTCTTTCAGCAATGCGATCTCCAAGCGTCATGCTGAATTTGAGAGACATGCTGAAGGCACCTACACCAGTGATATCACCTCTTATTTGGAAGGTCAAGCTGCCAAAGAGTTCATTGCTTGGTTAGTGAATGGACGAGGAAGAAGAGAGTAAGAATCCATATATTCCTATTATTAAATTTTGCCTTGCTTTTGGGGTTAGAAATCAAGTCTGATGAAACCTTGATGTGTTTTTGATCATTCTTGCTGTCCTTCATGTTTTGCTTTTGTGGGTGTTAGACTACCACTTTAAACTATAAAGTTCAAATACAGATTAAAACAAACCTGTTCAGTATGCTGTTACACTTTAGAAGGTCAAGTTGAATTTAAGGTCAACATATCTAAAACTAAACCAGACCTTCCTCTGACTACCACTTTTCCCTCTTGGCATAACATTGCTCACAGTCTCCTTAACTATCATTAAGATTATTCAAGTCAGTGTCATCTTTTAAATTACTTTCTCTTTTTTTCCCTTTAACAGTCAGTCTTTTCCTCTGCAATATTTTCAATATTAAATTTTTACCAATGTCATCAGCTGTACTCCATGTGCTGGTGATCATTCCCAGCAGTAACTGATGACTTTTCCTCTTCCCATGCTCCACAAAGTCTCGCCAAGTTGCTGCTGCCAAAATAATTATAATTTCCTACAACTATAATTTATTTTCCTTTTTAGGACACCTCTACTTCTTTTGCTATGGTTTACAGTTTCCTGGATGCAGTGCTCCAGTTTTGACCTAACTATGTCTCTGATTTCTTTCATTAATATCTTGTTTTCCATATACTCATTGCAGATTTCTCAAGCCTTCTCATTCCATCCACTTACTCACTCATTACATCTTTTTTCATTATAGTCTTACACTTAGAATGGCCTTACCTTCAGTCTCCTGTGGGCACCTTCTAGCTCATCATATTTCCAACTCTGCATAGTTAGGAGTTATACAATGCACATGCCACTCCCCACCTTTTAACTGTTCTGTACTTATTTGTGCCTTTAGACTGTAAGCTCTTTGGAGCAGGGATTTCAGTTCATGCTCTGATTATATATTCTACCAGCTGTAAAGTACATCTCTTGCACTACATAAAAATGATAAATAACAATAAAAATAAAATAAATCTGTAAGACAAGATTGTGTGTTGTAGTCAAAGAAGACTAAAATAGGTCAAAGTAAATTTTATAAATAGTGACAATTTCCTGAAAAAACAGTGGTAAATAAATGAGGTCAGCCATATAGAAAAGGGAAAGACTGTGGCCACTTCATAGTGATGTTTAGATTTGCAGTTGGGTTTCTGTCATGTTTTATTTTCATGAACAGAAATAGGGAATTTCATTTTCTGTAAGAGAAAGAGATTACAACCTATCTGTGATGAACTGAGCTTAGAAACCTAGATGGACAATTAAATGTAGACTACCCTTCTGCTTCCCAATATTTATTATTATTTCCAGTCAAACTTATATATAGCTTTCCCTGAAATTATTGCATGAAAAGAACCAGTCTGCCTGTCATTGGTCCCAGAGCACAGTGTGCTTCAGTATCAGTCCAGCCTAATGGAATTCATTAAAATCTTCCTATATTTGATGGGATGATACAGGAGAGGAAAGTTGTCTAAATCAGGCCCTTGGCATAATGGTATTCCAGCTATCAAAAAAGGATAGAGTAAGAATCGGGATCTTATTTCAAATATAAAATGCTACTGTACAGCAAACAAGCACATAGATTTTATACAGGTGTTATAATTTAGTTATTTTAACCCCTAAAAAAAGTTGCTGCTCTTAATATCTAGATACTTATGCAATGTAACTGTAAGTCTATAACTAGGAGTTAAGTCCAAGTAAAACAGGAAAAATGTATGAAAATTTGACTATAATGTTTTTAGTAGCAATATTTCTTAAATAATGATTTTTAGTAAATCTACTGTGAGTTTTATTGATGTCTACTTGGCACAGACATTGCAGACTGACATATGTTTTTTGCATGTATGGCTTTTCCAAAGAATGCTAGAAAGGAATTTAGATTCACCTGAAGGAACAGCCCTCATCTGGTAAAGGGAGACTTCCGTGCTTTATTCTGTTGTTAAAATAATGCCTCAAAAAATGTTCTGATATATGTCATGCTGTACCGAGCCATAACATCAGGCCCAACCCTTAACTTCTTAAAATCACAGGAAATGTGCAGTGTATTAGAATCCTGTAATTAGGTCCTTTTAAACTGTTTATTCTGATCTGCAAATTGTTTGATAATTTCTTCCCTTTGAAGTTTTCCAGAAAAAGCTCTTATGGCTGAAGAACTGGGCCGAAGACACGCAGACGGCACTTTCACAAGTGATATCAACAAAGTCCTTGATGACATGGCTGCCAAAGAGTTCCTAAAATGGCTGATTAACACAAAAGTTACCCAAAGGTGCCTGAATTTTGATTGTGTTATTCTTAATATACTGGGGGTTTAAATGTATTTTTCACACACAGGGAAAATACTGCTAATTTTTCTCTTAACTATTGACATACCCTTAACTGCGTTACAAACTTTGTTACAGACCGTGCTAAACAAGGATAAGACACTAAACAGAACTGATTCCTAATATAATGTGTATTTTGCATCAGTGGTGAACCTATTTGATAGTTTCCTATTTAACTTCAGGGGAGTTTTGCCACTGAATGTTACCAGAAGTGAGGTCATATTAAATTACTGAAAAATAAAACTCTTCTTTGCATAGGCATTATAAAATCAGAAATATTTATTGGTAAAATTACACCAAACTGATTATTCTTTAAAGACAGTCATACAAAACACTGCCCTAAATTGTGGCTTGTTATTAAGGAATAGGGTACTGTAATCTGAGTACCTGATAGTGAACTATTTAAGAACCCTGCTTTAGTTGCCTGTATACAGGCAAATGCTGTTGGAAAAGCAACATTTTCTGTCATCTGAACTCTGTGAACAGTCTGTTAACATTAACAAAGTGTTTCAAAAATACTAAAATGCCAACTCAAGGCACATGTGAGTAGCCGGATTTTTTTAAATGTTGGATGTCCACTCTATAAAAATTAATTACTTTTAGTCTTTAGACTACTGAAGCACCCAAAATGACTACTTGATCTTGGAAATCTGAAACTAATATTTTTCGATAAATTCAGAAGCTATAGTTAAAATACATTTTTTATTAAAATTTTAATATTTTTGCATTTGTTTGTAGTTCAGCATTGAAACAAACAATTTAGGAAAAGAAACTATTAGAAACAATTAAAAAGCTTTTCCTTTAGGAATAATTGTTTTCAGTCTGTTCACAGAGAGAGGCATAGAGGGGGGCTGTGGAACTAACATCTGCTAACTGTTAAACAGAACAAATATTTTCCACACATATTTCATAAATCTTGGGAGATTTATAATATGCCCTAATTGCTGCTGCTTTTTTTTTTTCCAGGGACCTTTTGGGAGAATACCAGTAAAAATGCAGAATAAAAATGGGATAAATGAAGATCTTCATTGCATCAACTGCCAGTTATTAAGACATTCTGAAATCTGTATTCTGTCATTAACATTGGGTGTAACAAAGCTATGTCACCTTGCATGCCAGGAAATAATTGTACTATAGTTTAGTGTTGCCAAAGGTTTATATATGGAAAACCTACTGTCTAAGGTATGGGTATCTTAACAGCTTTAAGACTATGAAAGTTCCATATCTTCATATTTTCCATTTATTAGGACTGAAGTAACTCCCTTTATATTTAATGATAAAATTATTTTTCTAAAAAGTTGACTTCTACACACAAAGGATTTAATCACCAAATATACGTGTTATTTGTAAGGGGCTGGCAGTCACAAATGCCTGAGAAGTGAATAACCCTCTTAAAACCTTTGTTATAAAAAGGCTAAGCTTTAAGGATATTAAATGATAGCCTTAAATAAATTTTTTCAAGCTTCTTTTCTGTTGACTTTTCATGTGTATATCCCTTGTGCCTCTTTGCACTCCATTGCATTTTATTCTAATATTTTTGTGTCACTGAGATCTTGGAAGTGGTTTGTTTCGAATGATAAAACAAACTCAATCTTTTGTTTTGTCACATTTTCTCCATAATGATTCTCAGAAAAAAGCTGTGTGAACTTTGAATTATCTTTAGTTGAAAAAGAAATCATATAAGGTGAAGCCAGAGGGGGAAACAAGACTGAACAAAGTATTCTTCATTAGCATAAATTCTTATTTCTCAGCAAAAGCAGGAGGACAGCTTTGAAAAACATTATGTGCAATATACTCCATTAGCCACATAATATCTTCAAATTTTACAAGATTGCCAAGTAAAGCCAACTCAAATGGCCCTGGGGTCACTCTAATCTGTGCTGTATTCTTTTCTTCCTTCTTCCTCTGAGGACTGCTTCATCCAACATCTCCTGCATTCAGCAATATTTTACTGTAACTTACAATCACAGCTGTCATTTCAGTAACCTGTGCCTTCTCCATTACGGTGACACAACATTTTGTTTGCAGATCTCAGTGTTTCTTGCAATCCAAACTACTACACTCTCAGCTGGCAAGGGCATGTTTTTGTAGGCAGGGTAGTAGCTGCAACTCTCAAATAGCCACAGATGCTGTCATGTACCTCTTGCTTCTGATGACTCCCCAAACACCCTTTTCTTCCCTTGCTGTCATAGCAATATGCCAGCTATCTGTATTAAAACGTCCTAAAGGGCAAGTGGTTTAAGAGAAAGCCAATGGGCTTAGCAAGTATCTAGTAGAATTTGATGTGAAGCAGAAGCATTGTTGGTTCAGAATTAGCACCTATAACTTTTGATAGGAATAACTAGTATTGTTTTGTGTCTCATTTGTTTTTTAAAGGCATCTGAAACTTTCACTGACGGTCTAGAATTTCTGGAAAAATAAGATTAGATTGTCTTCCCAAAGTGCTACAGGAATAAATATTCTGTAATTTCCAATCAGGACTGATCATACCCAACTTGGCATCTAGAACAGCTTGTTCACAGCAACAGAAAGCTGTTCTAATATCCCAACTTTAAACAATTAATACTCAATAGAACTGTGTGCTAAAGAAAGCCATCATAACACCCAAAATACTACTGGAGTTGAAAAAAGGGGGGGGGGTGGGGTGTGAAGAATGTATACATATTTGTTGTTTATTTAATCTCAATGTTCATTTAATCTCATGTTTGGTTCCAAGTGCTTCTGGAACTGAAAAAGATTCAGTTACACACAGTTGGATCCATATGGTCCAGGCAGAAATGGCACATACAGTTAACTCTTCTATTTCCATAGACTGAGCAATTGTCTTTAAAACATTTTATTCCACTATGTCCAGGATATTTAGTGCTCTGAAGGACAGGATTTGTAAATTACAAATCCATTTTCCTGTGGTGTCTGTCAACAGTGTATTTGAGCACCTCCTGATGATGGCTTTGTCAGATATGAAAATACTGTTTTCACACATTTTTATGAATTATATGCTTTTAGGAACAGAGGGGTATACACTATATTCTCAAAGTTATGCAGCTTGTCTAGAACACAGCAAAAATACTTAATCTCCAATTTTCTGAGTCCCAATCTACAGCATGAATCAAAAGACACCTTTTCTTCAGAAGTGAGATGAAGTTGAGCATGTTCCAGAACACGTTCAAACACACATTTTAGCTCAACAGGACTAGGATTTATATATGCTGAAATCACAGAGCAAGTCCACAGGAGCATATGAGATTAAAAAAAAAAAAAAAAAAAAAAGAAATGAGGTATGTGTTGGGTATTTCTTGTACACGTTAGATGAAATTCAGTGAATGGTACAAACATAAGGAGAAATAGGTGCTCAGGAGCATGTTTCAGTGTCACCTACAGGGCTACACCCTCATCCACTCTCAGAAACATTATCTTCCTTCCAGTAAAGGACCTAAACTGTGTACAGCTTATTAAAATCCCATAACCTGTTGTGTATGACAGGTCTTGACTGGCATGCTATAAAAGATAGCACTGTTGTGATGCCCTCTGCACCCGCTGTGAGCTTTAAGTTTACAAGAGTTAGGGTACAGGTCCCATCATATTTGAAATACATTGTATATGTATCACAGATGCATTTTATGGTGCATAAGCTTAATTTTTTTTGTTTCACTCACTCCATGCTGACTTCTTCACTCTACTACAAAACTTATATCTCCTTTAAGTTTTATGAACACAGTATAACTGGCCCAGATGTTCTGACTGTATTGTGTACGTACACCTCCTATAATTCCATATTCCATGAACTCGTGTGTATTTAGAGTCCTCTATGTATCTGCACATGTGCTGCCTAGAACTTCCAGGTGGCCTTATATTAAAAAGCATTCCCAATATTATCTCCTTTATTAAATGTATTCTATACGCTGAGTGTGTGACATCCTTCCTCTTCTGCCTTATTTACTAAGTATCTGGAAAAATAAGCACATCGAAGCAAAACAAAACAACTAACTGGAATTAATGCAATAAAAATGAACAGAAACCTGAGATACTCTTAACTGTTCAGCTGTGCTCTAAGGACATGTGGCAAGAATCTTCAATAGCCAGGAAATTAATTTTATAAAGAAAAATACATGAACTTGAAAGAACGGAATGACAGCCTCTACTAGCCACATTGAAACAGTTGTCCCAACGACATAACCACACAAACAGGATTATTTTCTACTTTGCTTTCCTGATTTACAGGACTCTTCACAGTCCTTTCACACAGAACCAGTGTAATGATGAATTACAAAACTGTCCTTATGCCATTTCAGCCTCAAAATGCAAAGAAATGACAAGAAATTATTTCTGGAAAAAAAAGATATTTTGAATATATTTTAATATATCAGTATTAATATATCAAAAGACACACTTAGCCAAGTAGAACTTGAACACTCCTCAGTGCTAATAGGACTTTTGCCTTTTCTTCCTCACAGTACATTTGAAGTGAGCCTCTGAATCAGTATAAAACTTTTCTCCAGCACAAATTTTGTCTCCTATAGCCACACATTGAGACATCTGGAACACATCATTGCACCTGTAAGGGAAACTGTATACATTTGAGTCAAAAACAATAATATTTTTTTTTTGTTCTGCAGAGAGAGCTTATGTTTTCCATTTTTCCTGTTTGACTTCTCCAAATATTTCTGGAGGAAACACTCAAATACATAAACAGACGTATAACAAAGTTCTGAGTTGTGCTGAGCCTGGAAGTCTGAAGGAGATATCACATCTGGCAGGTCCGCTAATTGTTTGAGAAAGCCAAACTTCAGGCTGAAAGCTGTATTTTGGTTCTTTCTAGTAAGTAGCTCTTCTTAATCATACAACTTCTTTACTAATACTTTTGTGTTCAGTATACAATATGATGAACAGCTATGGCATCTCAAATTTGATTGTGTAGCAGCCATTGCTGGATATTCATTTCTTTAATCTCTTGGCATCATATTAATACATATCTGATTGCAAAAGAACACCATGGTAGAAAGTAATTTGAAGTATGTTGCTGGAGCAACTTTTTAAGTCTCAGGCTGTCACAAAAGACAATCTGACAGAGCACCAGAAGCACAACCATTACAATAATTTTTGGGACCATGGGTATTTTGATCAGACAGGAGGAACTTGAGTTCAAGGTGTAGAGAATCACTGCTAGGAGCTATTGCAAGCTATTAAACGGAAACATGTTCTGCTATACTGACTCTTAACTGGATCAGTCAGGTGGTTCTGAGTACAGAATCAGGTCCCATAAACTCGCCTGGCATAACCAGAGTGAGAAGCACTGAGATTATTAGATATTTTTGTCTACATACATGAATCCAGAGTTGCAAAGGTACTTAAAATTGGGTACCCACTGAAACTAGCACCAGCTAGCCATATGCTTTGTCAGCATAGGTCTTTTTTTCTTAAAATTAACCACTGAGAAGCATTAAAACCTTGCAGATAATCTCTCAAAACACTAAACTGCAATTTGGCTATGAAAAGCTTGGTAACACTCAGGTACAGCTGTTGTGTTTTGTTTTTCTTTTTTATTGTTGTTGGTAAAATGAACAACTGCACAGTGTACCAGATCAGTATCTAAGTGGAGCTGTAAGACATTCTGAAACTCTGGTCATGCATCTCACAGTTTGAAAAGTAATGTAGAAGACTTCCATTTCACTGTGATTTTACTTCATAAAAGTGGACCGATCTATACACAGAAATTAGGGTTAAGTAAGTGTGAATACTAAATACTGTGCTCAATCTGCAGAAGTGGAATGAAGGAACAAGTGGCACAACTTTACAGAAAAGTTCTGACAAGTATTTTGAAGGCAAGACTTAAGAACATTTGCTATCTCCCTTGGCTTCAAGTCTCTTCCTCTTGCTTTAGTGGATCGCATACTTTTTCTGTTCCATTTCTCAAGTTGTAAAATATGTCCATCTCTCTCTGATAACTGCTAGTGTTTGGCAGATAGAAGGAAAAAAAAAGCTAAGATGGACCAAACCAAAGGCACAAACAATGCCACTCAATAATTACTTCGAGGCTAGAACTCTTCTCTTAAAATAATTCCAGAAATTCCCACAACTTACAGACTACTTGGTGATGCTCAGCTTTTTAAACAATCGAATGCTTTACTGGTTTGATTTACAGGTTATTCTCAAGTCCTTTCCACCAGTTAGTCCTGCTATCTCAACATATACTCAAAATTCTCCCTGGAAATGGAATTGTCTGATGTGATAAACCAGGGTCATCTTCAGAGCTAAATTTTAAACTTTTATCCTATACTTCCATTCTCTGGTCTCAATTAAAATTCCACGTTGCAGACTTACACATCCATCTCTCTTTTATGCCAAGAACCAGTGCCAAAGAAATAAATATAAGCCCTTCCGGCAATTTTATCAGTCTTTCCATGGCTTGATTGCCAGAGATAGAAGTTCAAAGAGCTGAAACTTTACAAGAAATGCTGGTGCCACC